ACGAGCTTTCGTTAAGCGTCGAAGTATTATTGAGGCCAATATTTTAGATACTATATTCGTTAGACTTATTCCCCTGTGATTGTCACAAGAAGACTTTTGTCCTTTCTTGTAGATTGGGACAATTAGTGACTGAGACCAGTCGGAAACAAAGTAGATGAGATAAAGTTCAAAACTTTAGAATATTTGAAGCTCTATTACTTCAACCACTAGCCCTACCCTTACTTCCACACTTTAATCACTGAAGTAAGACCAGAACAAAAACTTGAATTCTGAAAAGATAAAACATGTACACTTATGGAAATCCTTTTACAATGATCAGCCTCTATGTTAACCATTCTCCGTAACTTAATAGACAAGGATTTTTAAAAATGGGTTTACAGAGTTAAACGAAACTCTGAGTTCACAGAACAAACCTGATACCATCTCTTTTCCATTTGATCTAAGCTGTATTTTCCATTCACTGCTGGTTCTTGATCTCTAGGAACAGTTTCAGATACCCATTTTTGTGAATGATTTTCATTTATGGAAGATACTACATTGTCTGAACCGCTTGATTGACTTGGATTTAAATGAACCCATAAATCTTCAGCTGAAGCATATGCTACTAAATCAACATTTTCAAGTGTTAGTTGCCAAGCTTGACTCCAAAGATGAGTATATGGAATGAATATTGAAACATTACCAACAGAACCTGGAAAAGATAATGATGAAAGTTTAGTTTTGTCAAGAAAATATTTATATTTAACTCAAGTATAACAGATAGAAGTTATGACCACGTTTAGTCGGTAAAAAATAAGTTTTTATCGGTTTAAAAATAATTGTTTATTTATATCCAGACATCATTTGACTTACATTGTTCTGAATAGTTACTTAATAAAGTTTATTGACAAGAAAATTGTCCTTTAGTTACCTAAACATTTGACTAATATACATGGAAAATCTAAAAACTTCTATATCCCACTATAAATGGGACATCTGAACGAGACGACTAACAGAATAATTTATAGTAAGCTCTTACAGACAGATGGCAGTATAATGAGATAACAATAAGCACTAACTGGATAGCCGATCGGACAAAAAATGGATGGCAATACAAAGAAAAACTAGGGTTAGTCAATGCCTAGCAAAAATAAAAACTTGATGAAATCAAATTAAAAGCGAAACCTGAAACTCAAGTATGGGGATTCAACCTGAAAACCTCGAATAATATATTGTTTAATCGACTTGACCTCCAAACACCCTGGTAAGGTCAAGAGCGGGAAGAGTCCACATTCCCTCTTTGAATACTTTCTTAAAGCCACGCATTTATATAAGTCATGCACACTTCTTCCTTGTATTCATCCTTATATTCAGGGTGTTGTTTACGAAATTAAGAGAAGGAAAAACAAATGTCCGGCGTTTTACCCGGGTATTGGGTAAGGAAGACCAACTTGAAGGAGTTGGAAAACCTTTATTTCAAACCGATAAGGTACATAGGCCCCATGACAATGGTAGATCGAACGTCGTACGCACGTATTATTGGTTACCGGCTACCATTGGACTATATCTCCTAACGTTACTTCATTGCCATGTAGACTAGGTCTCTTGTGGTAGAGTCTCGTTCTCTCAGCTGGATAATTTGGTTGTGGAGCTTTCAATGCTCTTCTGAACAGAATGATCAGCACAAACTTAAAAACAAGTGTCTTGCTCAAAAACTCGATGAGTGGACACCTAAGAAAACCATCTGCCTCGGTTTGGGAAGTTTGGTTGTATACCAGCCTATTTATAAATTTAATTTAGGTGCCTCTTTGTTCTAATGTCTATGTTTTAAATGGATAAAATAAATTATTGGCTTACATTAAGCACTGTGATAACGTTCTTATAGGTTAGATTATAGAAACTCTGACAGCCTTCACGTCCCATAGTTGAGACCGTAAATAACTAGCGTAAATAACTGGTCTAGAACCAAATCCTTTTAAAAGGGACTAATAAACGATAGCCAGTAACGTTTGAATGGTGTCTGTCTTTGTCTATATTTGACAGTCTGAAAAACAGGGTCAGTAAGTGTATAAGCAGGCTCGGTTTATTGATATATGAGGTGGGTTCGCAATCTGAGGTAATTCATTAATTTACATATGTGGTAGCAGTTCTGTAAAAGTAAAGATTTATTATAAAGGTCAATATTACTGGAATCCCCTGAGCGATCAGCCAACCATATGTGGTTATTCAAAAAACTACGATCCAACAGATCGACTTATGAGTGAGGTAATATATGGTTTTTATAATTTAAATCATATATAATTAAATACTCTAATAAGTATGAGCCCATTAGAGAGATGCAAAATTATTAATTCCTTTGAAGTTATTGGAGCTCATAATACTCACCAGATTTTAGCGTTAACGGAATACCAAACAGGCTGTTCAAAAAATCTTTCTTCAAAGTTAGATTGCTCAATGTTATATTTCCTTGAATAAATAAGCAGTAGGGAAAGAAATTGTCTTACCATTAAGCAGACCATATGACAGGTTTTCACCGTTGAAATCTTCGAAATACTTCCCTATGATATGGTCAGTAACCACAGCCAGTAACTTCTTAAACATGAGGTAGATTTCCAAAAACTATGTACTAAAATAATGCACCTGAAAGTCTTGGCTTTAGATAACAGACGCACATCGAGCTAAAAGCCATGACCTAGAAAATTTGAGTTTGGTGGTTAGGTCGCTAATTGCAATAGCCAATATCTCTAATATCTTTTCAACGAGCTGTGGAGGTGGCATGAAAAACTTATTTTGTAAATAGTTTTTGATACTATCTGTAGCTAGTGTGAACCAATTTGATTTCCTCGCGCTCGATTCTTGTTCTTTCGGTACGGTTCCAGGTGTTCGGTAATGTCCAGTTGGTGGAGGTCTAGCCACTCGACTGTCTAATTCTAGTCAGTTGGCAATTGGTTATTAGTTTGTATGTCTCGGGATTTGAATGAAACGTTTGTTTCAGGGCAGTAGGGTTTCTGGATACAATCAGCCGTCACATTACCAAACCGGAGATCAGTTAGTTGCAATTTGGAGAGTAATAAGGGTACTTACTTCATTACTTACGCCTGTTACCCCCAATGGAGCATAGGCCGCCCACCAGTTTTCTCCAACTAACTCTTTCCTGGGCTTTTCTCTACAGCTCTGTCCAATGTTTGTTCGTTCCTCTCATATTTTTCTCTATTTCTCGGCGTAGTGTGTTCTTTGACCTTCCTCTTTTCCTTTCACATTGAGGGTTCCATACAAGGGCTTGTCTTGTGACACAGTTGGGTGCTTTTCGTAGTGTGTGTCCTATCCACCAACTCCACCGCTTCTTCCTGATTTCCTCCTCCACTGGAATCTGGTTTGTTCTCTCCCACAGTTCGTTGTTGCTGATCGTGTCTGGCCAACGAATACGAAGTATTTTGCGTAGACAACTGTTAATAAACACTTGTATCTTCTGGATGATGGCTTTCGTAGTTCTCCAAGTTTCCGCTCCATACAGTAGAACTGTCTTGACATTTGTATTGAAAATCCTGATTCTGGTTTTGTTTGAAAGTTGTTTGGAGTTCCAGATATTTCTCAACTGTAGAAATGCACCCCTTGCTTTGCCGATCCGCGCCCTCACATCTGCTTCGCATCCACCTTGGTTGTCGATGATGCTGCCAAGATATGTAAAGGTGTTAACGTCCCCCAAGGCATCTCTATGAAGAGTGATTTGATTGGTGCATGTTGTGTTGCATCGGAGAATTTCGCTTTTACCTTTATGTATGTTGAGACCTACTGCTGCAGAGGCTGCTGCTACACTGGTCGTCTTCTCTTGCATTTGTTGTTGCGTGGGAGATAGAAGAGCCAGGTCATCTGCGAAGTCCAGATCGTCCAGCTGCGTCCTAACTGTCCAGTTGATACCGTGCTTCCCTCCAAATGTCGACGTCTTCAAAATCCAGTCGATGACCAGGAGAAAGAGAAAGGGTGAGAGTAAGCAACCTTGCCTCACACCGGTCTTCACCCCGAACGAGTCTGTTAGCTGTACTCCGTGTACGATTTTGCAGTTGAATCAATCATAAGAGTTCCGTATGATGTTAACTATTTTCTCAGGCACACCGTAGTGTCGAACAAGCCTCCTATCCACGCTGTCGAATGCTTTCCCGTAGTCAATGGAGTTGATGTAGAGTGGTGAGTTCCATTCAATTGATTGTTCCACAATGATCCGTAATGTAGCAATTTGGTCAGTACATGATCGATCCTTACGAAATCCGGCCAGTTGATCTCGAAGTTGGGCGTCTACGAAGTCCTTCATTCTGTTTAACAATGCCCTGTTGAAGACTTTGCCTGGTATTGAAAGAATAGTGATGCCTCTGTAGTCCTCACACGTGCTGAGATCGCCTTTCATTGATATTTTGATCAGGTATCCTTCTTTTCAGTCTGATGGTACTTGTTCCTCATCCCAAAACTTCTTGAAGACGATGTGAAATATTTCGCAGTTGCTTCCACATCTGCTTTCATTGCCTCTGCTGGAATGCTGTCTGGTCCTGCTGCTTTGTCGCTCTTGGTTTGTCTGATGGCCATACTGATCTTCTCAATTGTAGGTGCGCCAATATTAATTGGGAGGTCCGTGGATGCTGCTTCGATGTTGGGTGGGTTCAGTGGAGCTGGTCGATTCAATAGTTCCTTAAAGTGCTCTACCCACCTATTTCGCTGTTGTTCAGTGTTGCTGATTACTTTGCCTTCCTTGTTTTTCACTGGTCGTTCTGGTTTACGATAGTTCCCGGCGAGCTTCTTTGTTGTTTCGTACAATAGTCTCAAGTTTCCGTCTCTTTCAGCCTTTTTCACCATCACTGCTAGATCTTCCACATATTTTCATTTGTCAGCTCTGATGCTTCCCTGTTTGCTTGTGTGTATGCAGCTTGTGCGGTAACTTTCTCTGCTCTTGTTCGGCTGACATTGATTGCTGCCCTCTTGTTCCTCCTTTCTTCAATTTTTGCGAGAGTATCAGCAGAGATCCATTCCTTATGATGGTAATTCTTGTGACCCGGAACTTCGTGACATGTTGAAGTGATTGCCTCCTTAACCCGTTTCCAATTGTTCTCCAAGGTTGCTTCCTCTCCATTGGGTAGATCCTGAAAGGCCTGGAACCTATTGGTGAGTGCAATCCTGAATTCGTTGAGCTTTACAGTGTTTCGAAGAAAGGCCGTATTAAACTTGTGTGATGTTGTGTGCCCCGTTGTCAAGTGCTTCTTTAGCTTCAGTTTCATTTTGGCGATCAGCAAGTGGTGATCTGATGCTATATCAGCTCCTCTCTTGGTTCTCACATCCACTATGGTCCTTCTGAACTTTTTGTTGATACAGATATGGTCTATTTGGTTTTGAGTAGTGTGATCTGGTGAAATCCATGTATCTTTGTGTATGCGTTTGAGCGAGAATATTGTGCCACCGATGACCAGTTTGTTGAAGGCACATAGGTTTGCAAATCTCTCACCATTTTCGTTCCTTTCTCCCAGTCCATGTAGTCCCATGATGTCTTCATATCCAGTGTTGTCCATTCCAACCTTGGCATTCAGGTCTCCCATAAGAATCGTCAAATCCTTTGGTGAACATTTATCGACGATTGACTGCAGCCTTTCGTAGAAATGATCTTTAACATCGTCATTATAGTCATTGGTAGGTGCATAACATTGGATGACGTTCATTGTAATGTCCGCTTTCTTTGTTTTGAAGGATGCTGTAATGATCCTTGGTCCATGCGATTCCCATCCTATCAGTGCCTTTTGTGCCTGTTTGGACAGCATCAGTGCAACTCCATGTGTATGTGAAGCATTTTCCTCTTCATGACCAGAATATAACAGCAGTTCCCCTGAAGCTAGTCTCAGTTGTCCTACCTGTGTCCAATGCGTTTCACTGATGCCGAGCACCTCGAGGTTGTATCTTTTCATTTCTGCAGCAACTTTAACGCTCCATGTACCTAAAAAAATGGTTGCTCTGGTTGTCAGAAGAGGCATCGGCCCCGTGACTTCCGAGGGAACTCGGCTTTCATCACGCGACGTCATAATTCTTCCTCCAACTCCCAGGGCGGAGTTAAAATGGTTTGAATTAGTTTTTCTGGTTAGCGTTTTCTTGGCAAGTTAGTTTTTGACGGAATGGGGTCGCCAACCCCATGTCCAACCCTTCTCCTTTACCCAGGCTTGGGACCGGCAGTAGACCCGAAGGCTCTACTGGCGGAGTTAGTAATAAGGATAAAATTATGATGATAATTTGAACACAGTTTCAGAACTGAGTAATATATAGATGAATTTAGTTTATTAATTTGTAGTGAAGATTGTGAGAGAGGACCGAAGTGTAAGCAAGGGAGAGGAAACAAAGATAATAGGCAAGATAGATTAATTGAGTGATCTGAGGAGATGGCAGTTAACAACTAGCAGGTCTCAAGATATGCATCATGAACAGCATGTTCAAGAGGGAGATAATAGTTCCAATGTGAGTACGTGATTATCAAGTTTCTTCTTATAGCAGTCCACTGAGGGGGCTGTAACTACCTCAGCTGGGAGAACATCCCAAGTTGCGACGACTCGCAATAAGAAAAATTGTGCACGAACCTGAGTATTCGCTCATTGATGTGCAATCTTTCGAGGATTGCTTCGAGGGGAGTGATGGTGATGCATCGGTAAGATGCTCACGTTGTGATGGTTTGGCGAGTTTAATATGGTGTACGCCATAATCAGATCACTTCTTATTCTCCTGTAGTTCAGTGGAAATAATCCTAAGAGCTGGAGTCTATCGTCATAGGGTTTATTTTTCAACCCTATCAACCATTTGGTTGCTCGTCTATGCACTCGATCAAAGAGATTTAAGTCTCTTTTAAGCAGAGGGGGTGCGTTTACGTTGTGAACCTCCAACTGTGGGCGCGCGTACGTCTTAAACAGGGTTCAAAGTAATTTCGAGGTGATAGCACCAAGCTGTCTTGGCATAAAGTGAAGAGTCGCATTTGCCTTGGCTGCATCCCCTACATAGTTTGGACTGGTGTGGAGGCTTTCTGTGGTTATTAAACCAAGATCGCGCTCTGAGGAGACATTAGGAAGCGGACTTTCATTGAGGGTATAGGTCGTTTGCGTCATATGAGGCAGGAGATGCATGACGTGGCACTTCGGTTGGTTGAGTTTTAAACCGTTTTTCACTGCCTATTTCTCAATAGATGTAAAGACCTTTTGAAGCTCAGTCGAATCCTCTTTACTTCTAATGGACCTCCAGATCTTCGCATCGTCTGCGTACATCAATGTCGGTGAGCTAACTGAGCCTAGCAAGTCGTTAAAATTTATCAGGAAGAGAAGTGTGCCTAGGATAGTCCGCCGTGAAACTCCCGAAATGGATACTCGCCAACTCGCGTGCACTCTGTTTACCTTGATGCGAAACTTTCTATTCTCAAGGTAGTTTCTGAGCCAAAATAGGAGTGGGTCAGTGAAGCCCATTTCCACAACCTTTTCGATTAGGCGTGCGTGAGATACTGTGTAAAAGGCCTTTGCAAAGTCGAGGAATATTACGTGCACCGGTATTTTAAGGTCTAAACAGGACGCCCAACTGTCCCATGCGATGAGAAGATTAGATGCACACGACCTGCCTTCCCGAACCCGTGTTGAGCATCATGGAGTATTTTATTCTTTTCCATGTACTGCCTCGTTTTTTCGTCCACTAGTCCTTCCATAACTTTTGATAATATTGGTAGTAGTGCGACTGGTCTGTAACAGGCTGGGTCCTTTCTATCTCCTCCTTTGAAGATTGGAGAAAAAGTAGCTTGTTTCCATTCAGCTGGGAATTGGTATGACTCAAGCAAATGCCTGAACAGGTTGCACAACGGTGAACAGAGGACTTCAGCACACTGTTGCAAGACTATAGGGCGGATTTTGTCACTTGCGAAACCGCAACTTCAGCTCCAAACTCCAATATGCAATATCCTACATCTTTTTCACCAGCTAGTATGAATCATTTGCTTTCTTTGCCCTCGATTCTTGTTCTTTCGGTACGGTTCCAGGCATTTGATAGTTTCCAATGGATGGTAGTCTAGACACTCGACCTCAATAATTCTAGTCGGTTGGCAGTTGTTTGTGAGTTTGCCTGTCCCGTGATTTGAATGAGAACTTTTGTTTCACGGCAGTCGGTTTCTGGATACCAGCAGCTATCACGTTACCAGTCTGAATATCAGTTAGTTGCAATGTGAAGAATAATAAGGAGAAAAGTCTAATGCTAATAAGATTTCAGAACTATGTAAATAAATCGAAAAACAAGTTAATTGACTGGTAGTGAAGATTGTGCAATAGGATTTTCGCCTCTGTATTTTCAGCAGCACAAAGATTCCTACAAGAGCCAATATTGCGATCACCCCTGCCCCATACGGAAACGCACATGCTGTCTTGATTGGTCTGCAGGCGAGCGGACATCCAAAAAGCACGCGCAAAAGTATACACTGATTTATCTAGTTAACGCGCAGTTTGTGCATATTGATTGACCCGGTCGTTGATCGGAAATAATCACTTTATATGTATTCTTGTGCGTGTAGGGATGATGTCTCGTCATCTAACGGGTATGCAGTTTGCAATCCGGGACTGGCTAATGTCTGTCTGCTATGACTAAACTGGCTTTTTGGCTAGGTTGATCGTCTCGTAGGCTAACTGGTTGGGGTCCGCGAGACGAAAGTCACCAATGGTTAGAGACCTTGGGGGTTGTAGTGGCGTCTTGCCTCTTCATAGTCCCGCTAGGCAACGTGGCATTGTTTACAGCGTTGCGACCAAAAGCCATTCTGGACGCTTGGGATACCGTTCCCAGCATGGTCCAGAATATTGGTACGTGTTCATGGTCATGAGGTCGTGAATGAGGATTTGCGACTCTGGTGGATTAGGACTTAACGCCTTTAAGTCTGAAAAAAGATAAACACAAGTTATGAACTTACTTATATTCCTAATTTATTGAATCTCTCTCTCTTTTTTGGTTTTCTAGATTGATATAAGTCCATTGAATGTACAAGCTGAGGAATTACTTATTTTGAAATTAATACAATTTTATCAACATGCTTTTGAAGTTGATATTCCTATTAATCAGTGGAATAATTCGAATGACAATTGTTCATTTAATACTCATCATGTAACTTTCAATGATTTATCTGATACAAACAAGTAAGTACATTAGTAGTAGCTACTTACTTAATAACTTAATTACGCCTGTTACCTCTGATGGTACATTGTCCGCCAACTAGTATTCTCTAGCATGCTCTGTCCTGGGCTTCGGTTTTAAGTTTTGTCACATTTTTGTTCATTTTTCTCATGTCTGTCTCCATTTCACGGCGTAATTTGTTTTTTGACCTTACTCTTTTCCTTTGACCTTGGGGGTTCCAAGTGAGGATTTGTCTTGTGACGCACTTGGTTGCTTTCCTTAATATGTGTCCTATCCGCCTCCAGCGCTTCTTCCTGATTTCCTCCCCCACTGGAATTCGTTTGTTCTCTTCCACAGTAGGTTGTTACTGATGGTGTCTGGCTAACAAATCAGACGTCGCAAGTAGTGTAGCGTAAAAGTTTGCGTACGCAAACTTTCATTTGTTAGTTTAATTACATGGCTATCATCGTCAATTTAAGAAAGGTTTCATTAGTTCTTTCATGCAAGGTTGAAACTTTTCCAACAGTCGACACCAAAGACTCTACATCTGGATGCATGGGGTCAGTTTCAAAGTCTACAACAGCCAGCAGGACACCTGTATACTATTAACTCCCAATATCTTGAACTGTATTCCTTACTTAAGTCAGGTTATCATGATTACTCAGAGTTATAAGATTTCTCAATCCTAGAATACCACTGTATTCAGCCGGTAACATCTTCAAATGCTTTCGTACAGCCGAGTGGGGATAATCTGTTCTCCTCCTCCAATTGCTTTCACATGACCACGCATTTATAGCCACTGTCAGGAAAGTCTTACTCACTACCTTCTTGTGGCAAAGGTGCTGTTTACGAAACTGAGAGGGTGAAAAGTAAGTATCCGGAGCCTAAGCCTGATTGGTAGGTACAGATGATTCAATTTTAATGGGGCTGGAAGACTCTTCGATCCTGAACCAGTGGTGCACATGGGTTCCAGGATCACGTTGGAACAAATGGCATATGAGTCTATCTTTAGTTATGATCTACTATCGAAATGCATTTTTGAGCGCGTCGATCTTTTGCTTGTGTACTAAATATCCAGGTCAAAGCCTCGAAGAGTAGTTTGAGTAGAATACTAGCTGTGTTAGATACCTGGACATTATGTCAGCCCACACAAAAATCGATTGATTTGTGTGACAGTCGGTTACAACGCAGAAATTCGTACGTAAGTACATCAGTTCAGGTTGCCATACCACATCAGCACAGAGACGCAACTGTTAGTTCAAATCCAAGACTGATAGCAGTAATAGAAGTATTAGCATCAATGGAGAAGATTAGGGAGCGAAGATATGATTCGAAAAGTATAATTCAGTAAGATAAATTTAGAAGGAGAAAGGTAGAGATTATGAAGGATGCAGAAGCTTAGAACTTCATACAACACAAAGAGTGGATACACCTGCGCTATTGCAAACGATTACGAGTCATGTCGTTCAAGGTCTCTAACGATTGGTGACTTTCATCTCGCGGACCCCAACCAGGTAGCCTACGTTTACCAACAGGACTCATTCCAATTGTCTGTCAATGACTTCATGGATTTCCGACATGTTTTGTTCTGACTGCCCCTAGATTTCTTCCAACCCATTTCTACACTACAAAACATAGCTCATTGAGGCAGTTAGTGGTTAGGCATTCGTAACAATTGTCCCAACCACCTCAACTGATGAGGTTTCACCACTTCATCTATTGATCTGCCATCGTTACCTAGCACCCGTTTCCTAGCACCCGTTCCATCAGCACTGATGAGAGTCCTCAGATAAGTGAAGCCGTCTACGCTTTCGACTACTTCACTTCCTATCACTAGTTCAGGTGCCGATGCAACCCAATCCTGAAGCAACATTGTGCATTTCGATGGAGAAAGTGGACATCCCTGGCGGACATCACTTAAAGTAAAGAATTCCGATGACAGTTCGCATATACCGTAGGTGCCTGCCTCTTTGTACTAATCGTTATAGGATGACAACGAATTAATTGAAGAAAAGCTTATTTTTTTCATTCTCTATTAAGTATGTTTTGAAAAACAACCTTTATGCTCACTGTTTTCATGTTTCTATCTCTCTCTGTTGCTTCTTTTCGTTTCTTCCTCTAGAAGAAAATCACGTAACAACACTCTAACCGAGAATAAACTCTTCTGGTTTGATCAATTCATTATTAGTCCTATTCAAATGAAATTAAGTGTACAAACAGCGAAAACTTCATTGACTGAATCACATTTATCTGGTGCTAAACGTTTATTACCATCATTAATGAGTTTTACAGGTGCAGAAATACAATTAGGTAAGTTTTTTTTCTTATAATACTGTTTGGGTACAACTATAAATGCATCGAATTTAGACATTAACACTATTGGATGCCAACGGCTTAGTGATCCAAATGTTAAGTATTCACACGCACGGCCGAAGGTCCTGAGTACGAATTCTTCCAGCAGTGGAAGTCGTAGCTGCTCACTGCCACTGATGAGTTCCATACCAAGACGAAATTATTGTCCTATGCTTCCAGGTTTTTAATAATAGTCTAACATTGATCGATTCACGATTTCAAAAGGTAACAACTCAACGATCTCCACAACCGTATCATGTAACACTCATGAAGTTTAAAATGTACATGTGAGAATGAAAGAGAAACAATTTTTAGAGGAGTTTTATTTGATACAGAGTACAATGAAAATTAAATTATTTAGATTGATATACGTCATAATTTCTTCCTCATATATTGCCTTAAAGGATTAGCAAGTAGTACACTATTGTACAGAAACATCATTGATTACATATCGCAAAATTATTGGGAATAACATAAACTATTGAATATTTTTATAAGTAGTTTAGTTTCATGCGTAAAAGTGAAGGAACGTGGAATACATTAAAGAACTGGATATTTGGAGATATGAAAACCTGCAAATAGATTCAGACTACACTCATTGTTATGTGAAAACTAAGTGATATTGAACTCTTTGAATTCAATCGACACTAAAAACTTGTTGGGGATGTTAGGTCCCCAAAATTCGCTTGATAAATGCCTTATTTTGGTTTTCACGTTCGCTAGCATGGACTGATCAGTTGACCTTTAGATTTCAATTCCCACCAGGAAAATCTGTAGCTGTGATTGGCTGCTGTGTATTTTAGTGTGCTATTTTCTTAACTGTCCCAAGGACGTTTCTATGATGTATAAATAAACGAGAGTTGTGTGCTTGATTGTATTGTGATTGCTGGGTGTTTGTAGAATATACTTTCTATGCTTACAAAGCCTTCTTACTTTATTCGGGGATTCAAGGTAGCCTACCTGGACGCTGGTAATTGTCTCGTTCGCGTTTATCGACTAAGGTAAACTCGTAATAGCCTCAAGCATACTTAGTGACGAACCCAATAAAACTAAACCAGAATAATTTCAGGTACTGTTCTGCGATTCGAAGGTATTATCATTCAGATAGATAATTGATATTGTTATTCTGCACCGACATGAATCAGATATTGTTCTCTTTTTTAATTGAATTTTAGATTCAGTAGAAAAATTTTACATGTTAGAAACTATTCCACAATTATTAAACTATCTAAATACTTATTATCGACTACAATTTCGTGCACATGCTTTGCATATATTTGGATCAGTGGATTTTCTTGGCAATCCAATTGGTTTGATCAATGATTTAAGTTCTGGTATATCAGGATTAGTTGAGCTGGATGTTGGCGGTTTAATTCGACATGTTGCACATGGTGAAGGAGATAGTGCGGCCAAAGTAAGTAGAGTGTGTTGTGTTGTGTTTAGTGATTTCATTTTTGATGAGTAGATGTGATTAATGGTGGAGGACTTATGTAACACGTGTAACCAGCAGTTGCTGAAGGGCGGATAGGATCTAAAATCACAACAACACACAAGGTTAGTTTAAAACACCTCACACCAAGAGAGAACACGAAGTGGCAGCCACGGCATTCTTTTATTCGAAAATTAAAATACGCGGGGTTTGTACAGAAAGGGGGGGGATAGTTTACCAAAGTCTTATGAGTCATCCTTTACGTTCAGAGCATTCAGGACTTGTTGTTCAGCTTTCAAAGCGTTTATGTTTGATTGCTCTGAAATAGAAAGACAACATAACTCCGTTACACTTATTCTAACAAATTGCTTACTTACATACTTATGCCAGTTACCCCTAATGGAGCGTAGGCTACCAACTAGCGAATTAATATTCTGGTTAGTGGTTTTTTTGTTAGCAAGTTGTATTTCTACGCGTTGGGGCTTGTGATCGGCAGTAGCCCTAGAAGGGTTCCAAGTGGAGGCATTTTATTTTAACAAACTCTATTCCTCGATTATGGTAATACAAATGCGTTGAACATTTCTTTATTCAGCGTTTTGCTGAATGTTCTTGGAGTTGTTGTTGTTTTTCTCGTGACATGACATCAACTAAACACACATTTCTTCATACAACACTGAAGTAGGCAAATAATCTGATCTCAACTATGGCCACCTCCGTTGATATATGTATAATGGTCGAACTTGTCAATTGTTATGATTCAGGTGAGCTGTGAGATTTGTTCGTTTAAATTTCATCGTACTAGGCAGTTTTGTTGGCGATCATCGAGACTAAAAGCCCCAAATTATGGCCCAAGGGTCCAGATACACTGCTAACTGAACCAAGATATAACAAAAAGAAAGTGCCCTTCAGACAACAAGTATCTATGATGATATTACTTTCTCTTAACAGAAAAAGGTCAGTCAGTCAACAACAACATAGAACTTCGTACATACGTACATCAGTTCAAGTTGCAATACCACATTAGTACAAACATGCAATTGTCACTTCAATTCCCATAGTAGTAGAGGTAGTAGAAGTGTTAGCAGTAATCAGAGAGATTAGGGTTCGAAGATGTTATTCAAGAAGTATAATTCAGTGAGGTAAATTTAGAAAGAGAAAGATAGAGGTGATGAGGAATTCAGAAGGTTAGATTTCCATAGAACACAAAGAGTAAATGCACCTGCGTCATTGCAAAGGGTTTTGAGCCATGTCACTCAGGGTCTCTAACCATCGATTACTATCATCTCACGGACCCCAACCAGGTAGTCGACACCTACCGATATGACTCAGTCCACTTGTGAGTGACTTCATGGATTTTTGCCATGTTTTGGTTTGGCCGCTTCTAGCTTTCTTCCAACGTATTCCTACATCGCGAAGAAGGTTGAAAAAGTTTGTCCTATTAATAACACACACCAGTATTTTACACAGAATCTCATGGACTACAATGAAACTTTCAAAGTTTGAATCTAACACATTAAAAACTACTCACACAAAGCAATTCATTCCAATGTATTTTACGAGGGATAAAATATTTTCCTAAATTAAACCAAACCAGTTAGGGGATAGTGTTATAAAATACCATTCTCATTCTGTTCATAGCATTAATATTTTAGGTTAATTATAGAAGCCTTGATTATTTAAAAATTAAAACCCTCCATTATGTGAACAGAAACAACAGGTCCCAGTAATTTTTTAGGCTGGTTGTTTTTAGCCTAAGGGTAATGTGACAATTAGCAATTGTTTCTTCTTCTATATCAAATAGAAAACACTTTTATTCTCTCACAGAGTCATCTGCTCACCTTTTTTATCCTCCTCGCTGCAGACCTTTTTACGTCGCCCTCCCCCAACAGAGGAGCCTAAAACGTTACAGACGATGCATATTCAAACAATTAGGTTGACCATGAATACTAACCAATAGGAAACAATATTGAAAAGCATGTGAACTTGATAGTTGTGGGCGACCTTGAATATTGACCATTAGGAATTGACTAATTGAATTCAACTTACAAAATAATTTCTTTAGGTTATTTGATGAATATCGTAACACTAATTTTCCTCACTATGTGAAAGATTTTTATTATTATCATTATTATTGTCATTACGGTGTTGTGAAGATTGTTAAGTTTTTTTGAAACCATGAATCGATCAATGTTAGACCACCATTACAAACCTGGAAGCACTGCACGACGGCCGTTTCGTCCCTGTATGGGACTCCTCAGCAGTGTGCATCCACGACTCCTGAACTCCTCAGGATTCGAGCCCAGGACCTTCGGTATTGTAGGCGAACGCCTAACCATCGGACCACTGAACCGTCCAGTGCTTCCAGGTTTCTAATGGTGGTCTAACATTGATCGATTCATGGTTTCAGAAAAATTATTATTGTCATTATTATGAGGAACGAAAAAAGAGTGTACAACCGCATTATTTGTACAATTTTCGAAAAATGAATTCGGCGAAAAATATGAACGTCGTGGTGTTTCAGATAGCAAGAAATCTGTGCTGATGATGTGGTGTGCAGAAGAAAAACAACAATCATCCACCTGGGCTACAAAAATTTCTTTACAATCTCGAAAAACACTTTGAACACTTCACTGTGAACAAATGTTTCTTGTTTTACATTTTAATAAAAAGTCTGTATATGTGACCGGTTTAGGCAACGTAACGCATGTTTCAACCAACTCAGCCGATAAAGTTTCACTACTTCATCACATGATTTGCCATTCTTATCTAGTACTCTTTGCTAACTTGATGATCCCATGATAAACGAGCAATGCTTCGAAAGCACGTATGATCGAATAAATAGTAACACCTACGAATATTCTCTATTCTTCTTAATGGCCATGTTTTACACCCGTATTTTTTTTAACTTGGTGACTTAAAATTATGAAGACATATTTGTGTATTTAAGACCATCGAGTAAACACTGTCGGTGTTAGGAGTCAGGTACTAACTAGGTAGGAATGACAAACAAATCGATGAAAATATAGTGAGTCTTTATCGGTTGAAGTGGTTGAAACATGTGTTATGTAGCCCAAACACTAACTACTTCGACAAGCGATGTTGTCTGATGTAGGTATAGACTGGAAGAGAGACGGCTAGGGACGGCCAAGCCAAAACATGACCCAAGTCTCTATGAAGTCATTGACAGCTGGATTGAGCTATGTTAGTAGATGTAGACTACTTGGTTGGGTTCCACAGGACAACAGTAACCAGTGGTTAGACAGTTTGAATGAAACGGCTCTAAATCGTTTGGAATGCTAATCTTCTGAATTCCTCGTGACCTTTTCATCATTATCGTTTAAAATTTATTTCTTTGGTTTATATTTTTTCGTATCTGTTGGGGATGTTAGATCCCCAAAACTCGCTTGATAAATGACTTAACTTTGGTTTTCACGTTTGCCAGCATGGGCTGATCAGTTGACCTTGAGATTTATTTTCCCACTATGAAAATCCATGACCGTGATTGGCTACTGTGTATTTTAGTCTGCTATTTTCGTAACTGTCCCAAGGACGTTTCCATGATGTATAAATAAACGAGAGTTGTGTGCTTGATTGTATTGTGATTGCTGTGTGTTTGTAGAATATACTTTCTACGCTTACAAAGCTTTCTGTTTTACAGCTTGGGATTCAAGGTAGCCTATCTAGATGCTGGTTCATTGTCTCGTTCGCGTTTATCGACTAAGATGAACTCGTAATAGTTTCAAGCGTACCTAGTGACGAACCCTACAGTATCATATCTTCAATCCTTAATCTTTCCGATTACCGGTCATACATCTGCTAACTATATTATTATGGGATTTGAATTTTGACAATGGCATCTCTGTCTGCTAATCACAACTTGAACAAATCTATATAATCCCATAGGTTCTTCGTTGCAACTGATTGACTGACTTACACATAGTTGTATATCCAACTTGTCTGAAGCAGTTATTATCGATTGAGTACTTTTATTTTATTACTCTTATATTATTGTCAAATATCATCTCTTAATGATATTTTATTTGTTGGTTGATGTTTTTTCCACCAGGTTGCTGGAAGTGTTTCCCAATTATTAAATGTTATGTCATTAGATGATAAACATCAACAAGAACGTGCTGTTATCTTAGGCAGTCATATTGACACTTCGCCATCATCACCGTCATCAGCGTCACCGACATTGCCATCTTCATCATCATCATCGTCATCCTTATTATTACAAACAACACAGCCAACTTATTACAATGAAAATGATTTAAATTCCAACGAGTTGAATGAATCATTAAATGATTTTGAATTAACATGTCATAATAAATATATCAATGTTAAAACACCTGCAGCATCAGCGGCCACAACATCCTCCACATCAACTACAACATCATTATTGCCGCCTCCACAGCCGCCACCGCCGCCATCAATTCATCATTCATTTGATACGGATCGATCGATTACAGCACCATTGAGTGCTGGTGTACGTGGTCTTATGCATGGTATTGTCGGTGGAATGACATCGATTGTGACACAACCTTATCGTGGTGCAAAAGAAGATCAATTTAGAGTAAGTTTCTTCTTTGTTCATGATAAATTCTAATGAATGAATAGTCAATTTGAGTAAGTCAAGTGTATATACACTTGACAGACGACAGCCCGACCGTAGCTGCTACCTTGACTTGGTGGTCGGGCTTGACTATCGTGATGATGACCCAGCCGAGCTATACTGGCTGGAACATATGTTCCTGAAGGTTCTACCATGCCAGGCAGATCGATTGGAGAACGGCGAGACTAAAAGCAGCTATGCAAGGTCTGAGGCCGAAGTCGTACTGCTGACTGTGATGGAGGGGTGTGACAGCATTAAGGTGTTTCCCTCGGACAACCAGCATCTGCAGCGATGCTGCCTTCTCACAAGAAAGGAAGGGTTAGAAAAGGTCGACCCTAAAAATGTCACACACTACGGAAAGCACCCTAACTGCGTCGTCACAAGACAAAGCCCTCACATGGAACCCTCAAGGCAAAAAGGAAAAGAGGACGGTCAAGGAACACATTACGCCGAGAAATATGGAAAGATATGACAAGAAAGAACAAAAATTGGGCGGAACTGGAAAGGGAAGCCCAGGACAGAGTTGGTTGGAGAAAACTGGTCGGCGGCCTATGCTCCATTAGGGATAACAGGCGTAGGTACTAAGTAAGTCAATGTATAACAAGAAAAAGCTAATGGAGATATTCTGTTAAATGAATAATGTTGGGGTCGTTAAATCCCCAGAACTCACACTTGATAACTTTCCTACTTTTGGATTTTATGCTTTCGTACATAAGCTGATCAGTTGGCCTTGAAATTACATTTCCCACCAGGAAAATCCTTGACTGTTATTGGTTGATGTGTTATTTTAGTACGCTAGTTTTGTGGCTCTCCCAAGGACGTTTCTATCATTTATAAATAAACTCGATTTGTGTGCTTGTCGACCTCACATTTTCTGGGTGTTTGTAGAATAATACACTTTCTAAGCCATATCAAGTCTTCTTTCTTCAGTAAGACAAGGCAACAGATTAGAGTAACCTATCATGTCACTGGATCATTTGTCTTCGCTCTCGTTTACCAACTAAGATGAACTCGTAATGGCATTCAAGCATATCAAAATGATCTAAAATGATCTAAAATAGAGATGAAACTCTAATTTACGAATGAGCAGATGAGAGTTGAGTAAGCTATTCAAAGTTTCACAGTGTTTAGTTCAGGACCTAATTCACACATGTACGATCAGTTCACAACATATTTGAAAAAAGGATATCATAGTTAAGGAGCTACAACAGTCAGAATTATTAATAAGTTCCATTGTTTGTGAAGTTCATGTGACTAATGTTGGTCACTGTAGAGGTAGAAGATATTCATAGATTACTGGTTTACGACCAGAGGTATCTTCGAAGCATTGCTCATATATCTTGGGAGATTCGAGTAAGCAGTCCTGTTGTTAGGAAAATGTTACTAAGTAAGGATGGCAAATCAATTAATGAAGTAGTGAATATTGATCAGTTGAGGTAGTTAGGACATGTGTTACGAATGCCTAACCACCGACTGCCTCGACGAGCTATGTTTTGTGGTGTAGGAGTAGGTTGGAAGAAAGCTAGAGGCGGCCAAACCAAAACATGGCACAAATCAATGAAGTCACTGACAGACAAGTGGACTGAGTCATGTTGGTAGATGAAGGCTACCTGGTTGGGATACGCGAGATGATGGTCACCGATGATTAGAAACCTTCAACGACATGGCTCAAAATCGTTTGGAATGGTGCAGGTGCATCCACTCTTTGTGTTCTATGAAATTTCAATCTTCTGCATTACTCATCATCTCTATTTTTCTCTTTCTAAAGATATCTCACTGAATTATACTTCTCGAATCATATCTTCGCTTCCTAATCTTCTCCATTACTGCTAATACTTCAACTATCGCTACCATTTTTGGATATGAACTGACAGTTGCGTCTGTGTGCTGATGGGGCATGGCAATCTGAACTGATGTACTTACGTCAGTTAGTCAGTTGCAACGTAGAACTTCGTACGTAAGTACATCAGTTCATGTTGCCATACCACATCAGCACAGAGATGTAATTGTCAATTCAAATCCAATAGTAGAAGAGGTAGTAAAGGTATTAGAAGTAATCGGAGAGGTTAGAATTAGAAGATATTATTCACGAAGTATGATTCAATGTGATAAGTTTAGAAAGTAAAAGCTAGAGGTGTTGAAGATTCCAGAAGATTAGGATTTGAGAGAACACAAAGAATAAATGCACTGGCGCCATTGCGAACGATTTTGAGCCATGTCATTCAAGGTCTCTAGCCATCGATTGTTATCATCTCGCGGACCCCAACCAGGTAGATGTACTTACGTACGAAGTTCTGTGTTGTATCTGTCTGTCAATCCAATGCTTACAGATTTTTGTAATAGTGGTTTAACAAATGATTGATTGATGATTTCAATGTGGAAAGAAAACACTGATCTTCATCATAAGTGTAATTGAAAAAAAAGATCACTTAATTTCATGCTCATAACAAAAACTTTAGCTGAAATATCAACAAACAAGACAAAATTATACTTACACTGATATCATTGTTATGTTTAGGAGTATTCTTATCAATAGGAATTTTTGATGTAATCCAATTATGTAATGTAGGATCACGTAAACACCAAATAATTTGATCTGTGATTAATATCACTATACCATTTAATTGTATTGGTAGAATATGTAATACGGTTTCAGGTGAATTCAGTAAATAACGTAGATGTTGAGGTAATATTGTTAAAGATTCAGAAGAATGATTATGATTATGATTATCACTACTACTAATACTACTATTAATATTATTAGTAGTATTACTGTTATTACATGGTAATAAGGTGTAAATGCATAACATTCGACTAAATGAAGATGTGAAACTGATATCAGTTAACTGATAATTCTCCATTGGAATTTCTTCACCAATTTCAAAATATGCTGGTGTTGATGATAACGATGATGCAGATGCGGATGCAGATGTAGAATAATAATTTTTCAACGTAGCACGACGTGTTCCAGTGAATAAGGTCAATTGATAAATTTGTAATTGTGCTATAGATTCATCTAAATTATATACAATTAATGGTCGAAGAAAATATTTCGATAAACCAGCACGACGTGGTCTACAACGTTTTGGACGAGATAAATTTGATGGACGTGCAACTTCACTAATGGAACTCATCATACCCGAGACAAAATCAAATACACCACCGACTGGTTTTGTCACAGTGCCTAGTAGACCACGACCAACACCATAAACAAAACCCTAAAAGAAAGAACGTAAAACACACACACAGAGAGAGATAAAATTTCTGTTCATGATGAATTTCGATGTGGACACATTAATGGATCACGCTAAAGTTAGATATTCTAATGTTCGCCTTAGTACGATTGATCGGATCGTATCGATCAAGTTCAGTCGATCAGCAACAACATAGAACTTCGAACATAAGTAAGTACGCCAGTTCAAGTTGCTATACCACATTAGTACAGATATGCCATTATCGATTCAAATCGCATAGTGGTAAGGGTAGTAGAAGTATGTATGAGCAGTAATCGGAAAGATTAGGGTTTGAAGAAATTATTCAAGAAGTATAAGTCAGTGAAATAAATTTAAAAAGGTGAAGATTTTGAAAGAATACAAAGAATGGAAGCATCTGCGCCATTACAAACGATTCTGAGCCATGTCATTCAAAGTCTCTAACGATTTGGTTACTATCGACTTGCGGACCTCAACCAGGTAGTCGACACTTACCAACATGACTCAGTCCACTTGTCTGTCAGTGACTTCATGGATTTGTGCCATGTTTTGGTTTTGCCGCCCCTAGCTTTCTTCCAATCTACTCCTACACCACAAAACATAGCTCGTCGCGGCAGTCGGCACAGCACACGAGACCAAATTGGTCAAAATCAAAAAGCATTAGATTGATCCGAGTTAGACATTAACATTGTTGGATGTCAGCTAGCTCAGTGACGCAGAGGTTAGGCATTTACGTGCATAAATCGAAAACCCTGGATTCGAATCATGAGAGTAGTAAGTAGCAGGAGTCGTGAATGCACAATGCCACTGATGAGTCCCATATCATGACGAAACGGTCAGACTTTCAGTGTTTTCAGATTTCTGTAATGGTGGTGGTCTAACAATGATTGATTGATGATTTCATTATGAACAAAAATGTTAGTCTCTCTCTCTCTCTCCCTACAGTTGGATTCAATTCTTCATTTGAATAGATTGATAGATCATAGAGAGAGTGGGAGGAGAGAGCAGTGATTCGATAATGACGTACATGTTGAAGTGACGAGTGTATAAACAACAATGAAATGATGATTAATCTATACTATTCAATCAAAAAGTGCCTAGTTTAGTTAACGTTATTTTTAATTATAAATGATGCAGTTATCTCATTGAATTATACTTCTTGAATAATATTGTCGAACCCCAAATCTTCTTCATTACCGCTAATACTTTTACTCTCTGTACCATTATGGGATTTGAACTAACAAGTGTGTCTTTATGCTAATGTGGTATGGCAACTTGAACTGATGTACTTACGTACTAAGTTCTACGTTGTAACTGACCATAGCTATCTTCGAAGCATTGCTTGTACATCCTGGGTCGACTGAGTAAGCACTACCGTTCTTAGGAAACGGGTACTAGATAAGGATGGCAGATCAATTGATGAAGTAGTGCATCTTGATCAGTTTATGTGGTTGGGACATGTTTCACGTAGGCCCAACCACCGATTGTCCCGACATGTGATGTTTTTCTGGTATAGGCAGTCAAATCAAAACATTACACAAATCACTGAAAACTGAATTGGGCCATGTTAATAGATGTAGGCCACCTAGTTGATGTCTTCAAGACACTAGTAACTGATGGTAAGTAACTTAGAATGACATGGCTGAAAATCGTTCGTAATAGCTCAGATGCATCCATTCTTTGTGTTCTTTCAAATTGTAATCTTCTGATGTCTTCAAGACCTTTCTTCTCTTTTTAAAGTTTGAAGACAACTGACAAAAAATCTTCAATTCAGATATCACATCATTTACGAGAAAACTGTTACTTTTCCAACAAGATTCGAACTCATATCATTGAGTGTTACAGTTAGAGAACTCATACCATCATACTGTTAACCTTAATTATAAGAAGACAAATTTTCTCGATAAATATTTGTGTAAATTCACCTTTCTGTTTATATTTTTTGTCATTTGTTTTCCTTGTAGAAATCAAATTCCACCTCATCACATCAGACTCCTGCACCAATATTTTTCTTAACTGAACATACAACATTAATGTTTATGTTACCTTATCATAGATTAGATCAAATTTATGTAATGCTGTCTTCAGATACTAACAATCTGTGTTCTACGCCTCAATCAACCACTACTTCAACTAATAATCCAGTTTATGTTGTATTCTCAGCCGATTGTGGTACTAGTCGACAACAATTACGTTGTGATTATTTAACATGGGGCATAGATTTAACAGCACACGTTAGAAATGCACAATTTCGTTATGCTCAAGCAAATATGCGTGTGAATCGATTGAATGAATTCACTTCATCCACTTCACCGTCGACATCATCATCACCATCAACTGGTTGCTGTTTGTTGAATAATGGAAACCATCAGCAACAGTCAACGACTACTACTACTACTACTACTACCAGTAGTAATGTGCGGTATCATGTACCACATTTTCAAAATCATCCAGTTGCATTAGCTTATAGTCCAATTTATCATAGAAAATTATAATTAAATGATTGTTCACAAAATTGGAAATGAATAGTTTTAAAACATAACACAACACAACATTTTAGTGCCTTGCTTGCTTCCTTTTTCTTATCACCCATCACAATTGAGCAGATCGACGACTAACTGTTTTTTCTGACTTTGTCAATATTTTTTTTCCATGTGTAAAACTTGATCGAATTGAATTGCCCGCTGATAAACTGTTTGTTTGTTTGTTTGAAATACAATTACTTTCAAGATTCAATGTTTTCAAAGTGTCCTGTGTTTTAATTATTCTCTCTTCCTACTCCGCTACCTGATTGGTCAGATTTTTGAAAATATGGGTGTACAATAAAAATGCGCATTTTTCAATTCCTCTTCTTCCGCTTCGGCTTATTCTTATCCTTTAATGATTGACTTGTTCTCTTTAGTTATGATAAATTTTTGTTATGATTAGTCGGTTTAAAAAACAATTTACATTTTTCTGAACAAATTCTTTCATCAATGTACATAGTTCTAGATTATTTGTAGTGATTATATATATATATATATACCTATATATATATTTTTATACAAACTTTTAAAAAGTAGCTAACATGATTAGTGCTTGATTTTAATGTATGTAACACGTAAAACATTTTGCGGAAGATACACCAGTTTATTCATAAAAGATGTACATAGAATTGTTAAATATATACTACTATCTTTTTATTGCAATCCTAGTTTGTTTTAATTTGGTCTGTCTTCTCTGAAATCTGTTGTAGTCGTTAATATACTCTGATGATTATGTTTATGCGAACATCAGTTAACAGTGAAACGCCATGACAACGCTTCGCTTATATCAATACACACCGACTATTATGTACACACATCCGATTGGAACAATGTGGAAATACTGGATAGGGAGAGCACAAAAAACACTAGGGCATTTTTAGAAGCTTAGCACTCAGATGAATCAGTAATCAACAAACACATCGACACTGACCCAATTTTATCAACCAATCAGAAAAATCGTACGCGACATAGAATCGAGAAACAGAAAAAAAGTGGGATATCTTCAGGCAGAGTTTAGGAGGTTTGTGTTTTTACACATTTGAAATCATCAATCAATCATTGTTAGACCACCATTAGAAACCTGGAAGCACTGAAAGACGGCCGTTTCGTCCTGGTATGGGACTCATCAGCAGTGCGAATCCATGACTCCTGGGACCTCGCAGGATTCGAACCCGGGACCTTTGATATTGTGCGCAAACGCCTAACCATCGGACCACTGGGCCGGTATCCAACGGTGTTAATGTCTAACTCTGATTGATCTTGGGACTTTGCACGACCTCACTTATTTGTCTTTGGTAGTTACTGCCTACACCTGACAGAGTTGAACTCCACGTCTTCTCAACTAGAACTCCGAGAATTTCCTCACGAAGCTAGTCACTAGTGGGCACTGTTACGATATTTTCAGGCAGAGCTTTGGTGGTTTGTGTTTTTACACATTTGAAATCAATTAATCAAAGTGGGATACAGCAACCAATCAAAATCGAAGTTAACAGAACAAGCTACTGGTCAAACGTGGAGAAATTCGAATGCTTCACTTCTATCTGAAGTTTGTGCTGATGATGTTGTTCAGAAGAACAATGAAATCTCCACAACCTAAACATCGAGCTCAGAGAACGAAACACCACCACAATCATCCACTTGAGCTACAAATCTTCTCCACCAATTCAAAGTCATGTTCTTCAATTTATAGACACTCTTTGCTCTGGAAGCAACTTCTAGGTGACACTCTTGTACTGCATACTACTTCTAAGCCATTTTCTTGGATGGCATTCACCAAGACAATAGGATGGGTGTGGAGGAGCTTGTCACAATGTTGATGTTCGCCATTCAACTTGAATTCAGTATTTGTCACTTGATGAATCAATAAATCGATTAGTCAATAAACTATTGATTTTTACGCAATAACTAGAAACTTATTCAATAGAGCTGATATATATGTTGCATCATTTGTGATGAAAGTTTGTTTCCTAGTTAAACTCACTTACTTGTTTGTATTAAGAAAGAACTAGAATTTCTGAAGAAGTGAAGACTTTTCAGTACGAATTATGTCTGAACATACGCAGGATATGTAAATTTTGAATGCTTAAAGGTTTCGAAAAATCGATGAATTCTCACTTTCGTCTATTTCAATGGCGACTAGTTCCAGTTTAACGTTCAAAAAATAGTGGAAATTGGTGTTTAGATATATTTTTCGTTTGTTTGATGTCCTGGTGATACGTACTGTAGGACTGATCCCTACGACACTAACCTGTCAACCTACGCTAATGATGGCGTAGATAAGTTATCCGTCAACAAAGCAAAGGACGAGTCTACTGCTAAGCAGTTCGCTCCGTTCTACTATACGGGTATGAAACACGGCCAGTAAGGGAAGAGGATATCCGTAGGTTGCTAGTATTTGATCGTAGGTATCTCCGAAGCATTGCTTGTGTATCCTAGGACAATCGAGTAAGCAGTGATGCTGTTAGAAAAAGAGTACTGGTTATGGATGGCTAATCAATAGATAAAGTAGCGAATCTTCATCTGTTGAGATGGTTAGAACATGTGTATGCCCAACCACCGACTGCCTCAGCGAGCTATGTTTTGTGATGTAGGAGTAGGTTGGGAGAAAGCTAGAGGCGAATAAACCAAAACACGACGGAAATTCATGAAGTAGGTAGGTGTAGACTACCAAGTTGGAGTCCACAAGATGATAGTCAACGAGGTTAGAGACCTTGAATGCAC